CCCCCCCTCACGCCACGCCCGCGCCCCCCAACCCCCTCGGCGCAGCCAGCCCGCGCTCCCGGCTCCACTCCCCCACTCATTCTCCCCCCCCCCCCCCGGGCTGCGGGCTAATGCGCGGGCATCGGGAGCGCCCTTCCCGCACGTGCACGCGCCCCTTCCCGCGCGTAGAGCTCGCTCCAGCCCCAGCCTACCTGAGGCGGCTCCTCCTCCGCGCGCCCGGCGATGAGCGGGGCCTGCGCGCGCCCGAGGCAGGGGGCGGGGCCAGCGGAGGAGCGATGGTGCGCGCTCCCGAGCGTCCCAAGCGCTGAAACTTTCCACGTGTCAGGAATATGCGCGTGCCCGCCCGCCCAAAGAGACCCCCCCAACCCGCCCCACACAGAGACCCACCACCAGCCCCCTGCACCGAGACCCCCGACCCGCCCCACACAGAGACCCACCCCCAGCCCCCTGCACCGAGACCCCCAACCCACCCCACACACTGGGACAAGCCCCCGCCTCCAGTCCCAGCCCCCAACCCCCAAACTGCCCCACACAGAGACCCACCACCTGCCCCAAGACCCCCAGATCCCAGCCCCTTGCACCGAGACCCCCAACCCACCCCACACACTGGGACCAGACCTGCACCTCCAGTCCCAGCCCCCAACCCCCCAAACTGTCCCACACAGAGACCCACCACCAGCCCCTGCCCCAAGACCCGCAGATCTCAGCCCCCTGCACCGAGACCCCCAACCCACCCCACACACTGAGACTGACCACCCCCCTAGTCCACTCCAGAATCCAGCCCCCCACACCGCAACCCCTCAAGTCCCCACTCTCAGACCCCCCCCAATACCAGATCCCTCCAATCTCAGCCCCCCACCATGATCCCCCAAACTCCAACCCATCCCCTGCACCGACCCCCCAAAGCAATCCCCTACATCAAACCCCCCACCAGTCCTCTGCACCAAAGCCTCCCAATCCACACCAATCCCACATGTTGAGACCCCTATCAGCCCCTTGTGTCAATACCTCCAAAACCTCTCAACTCAGACACCCCCACTGAGACCCCCAAATCCCAGAGCCCCCCACACCACAACCCTATCCACACCCTCAATCCCAGATCCCCACCAACCTCCTACACAGAGACCCCCATCAGCCCCCTATGTCGATGCCTCCCAAATACCAGACCCCTCTGCACTGAGACCCTCAACAAGCGCTAAATCCCAGACACCCCCACCCACACCCCACACTGAGACCCCCAAATCCCAGCCCCCTACAAGGCACACAAACACCCCCCATCCCTGGCCCCCCAACACCCTCTACTGAGACCCCCCCAAGTCCCAGAGATCCCTAATTCCCCTCCCTGCACCAAGGTACACAACAGCCCCCTCCAAGAATCTGCACTGAGCCCCACAGGGGCAGGTGGGTCCAGGCCCGCCCTGCCCCATACACACATGCCTGCGGTGAGCCCGTGCTGCCCCCTGCTGAGCGACAGGCAGCGGTGCAGGGATGTTGCAGCCAGAGGGGACAAAGAGTCCCGTGGCACCTTACAGACGTATTGGAGCATGACCTTTCGTGGGTGAATACCCGCTTCGTCAGACGCATGTGACGCGAGTATTCACCCACAAAAGCTGTTAGTCTATAAAGTGCCACAGGACTCTTTGTCGCTTTTTACAGATCCAGACTAACACGGCTACCCCTCGGATACTTGCAGCCAGGAGCGGCCGAGGGGGGCTGGGCAGCCAGGCACTAAGGGGGCTCAGCAGAAACCATGGCCCTGCCCGTGCCCAGCCCCAGGGGAAACTGAGGCCTATGTGGGGAGAGCCTGCTGCTCCTATTACTAAGCGCTGCCAAGCTGTGGCTCCACACAGGCACTCGCTCTCCCAAGCCAGGGTGTCTCCCTCTTTATTTACCTGTGGCATGGAACAGCCCCACTGAGAGACAGGCCCTGCCCTGCTCGGACCATGGCCAGCCCCACTGAGAGACATGCCCTGCTCTGCCTGCGGCCAGCCCCACTGAGAGACAGGCCCTGCCCGGGCCACGGCCAGCCCCCCTGGTCCATTGGTCAGCACAGGAAACAGAAATATCATCTCTGCCAGTCAGCATGGTTTCAAGGAAGTTGGGGCGTGTTTTGGGTGGTTGTTTTTTTCACAGGATTGCAGATCTGGCTGATAAAGGTCACTGCGTTGGTATCGTGTGCTTGGTGTCTCCAAGGCATTTAACGTAATGTGTGGCATTTTGATGAAAAAGCTATGTGGAATTATCAGGGCACATGATTAGATTAAAACCAGGCTCACGGGCAGATCTCAGAATGTACTTGGTCATGGGGAGAGATCAACTGGTGCGGCAGTTTCTAGTTGATGTTATCAAATCGTGCAGATGAGAAAGGTTGGCAGAGTGATAAATATTGAGAAGAACAGGTCACTGTTAGAGTGCTCGGAATCGCCTGGTTAAATGGTCACAGCCCAACACAAGGCAATACAGGAGCCAAGCACAGGGGTCATACGTACAGAATGGGAGAGCACTGACTCGGAGTCATTGCAGACAGGAGCTCTTGGTGCCAGGCTGTGGTGCAAAGGGCTAATGTGATCCTTGGCTGTGTAAAAGGGGAATATCAAGTAGAAATAGGGACGCGATCCTGGTAAGATCACTCGTAGAATACTACTGGCAGTTCTGGTGACCACACTTTGAGGAGGAGGTGGAAATACTGCAGAGTGCCAAAGGGGGCCACAGGAATGACCCAGGGCTGGAAAACAAGCCGTATAACGCAAGGCTAAAGGAGCTTATTGAGGCTGAGAGGTGACCGATCAGTGTCTAGGCACCAACACATGGACAAGAGATCTGGTAGTGGGGGCTTTGCAATGCTGCTGACTACAGGTCTGTGCCCCTGGGATCGCGGTGTGTGACTGCAGCAGGGGGGAAGATACCTCAGCGAGCAAGCGAGCTTGGGTAGCAACAGCAATGGAGCCACGGTAGCCCGGGCTACCTGCTGGAGCACACACCCAGGCCAGGCTGTCCAGCCTGGGCTGCCGCAGCATCACTGGTGTTCTCAGAGCTGCTGCAGTCACCCCTCCCACTGCACTGTGGACGGACCCTGACTCAGCAAGATTATAACGCTTCTGGCTTTAAACTCTATTCACTCCTGAGCGGGCACAGACCTGGCGCGCCGCAGGCCCTGCCCCGAGGGAGCCGAGCGGGTCAAAGACTTCGCTCCGCGGGCCCTGCCCCGAGGGAGCCAAGCAGGGCGTGGACCTCGCACCGCAGGCCCTGCCCCGAGGGAGCCAAGCAGGGCGTGGACCTCGCACCGCAAGCCCTGCCCCGAGGGAGCCAAGCGGGTCACAGACCTGGCGCCGCGGGCCCTGCCCCGAGGGAGCTGACCGGGGCACAGACCCGGCGCCGCGGGCCCTGCCCCGAGGGAGCTGAGTGGGGCACAGACCCAGCACCGCGGGCCCTGCCCCGAGGGAGCTGAGTGGGGCACAGGCGTAGCGCACTGCAGGCCCTGCCCCGAGGGAGCCGAGCGGGTCACAGGCCTGGTGTGCCGCGGGCCCTGCCCTGAGGGAGTCGAGCAGGGCGTGGACCTGCCCTGAGGGAGCAGAGCGGACCGCAGGCCTGGCCCGAGGGAACCGAGCGGGGCGCGGACCTGGCCCGAGGGAACCGAGCGGGGCGCGGACCTGGCCCGAGGGAACCGAGCGGGGCGCGGACCTGGTGCGCCGCTGAGCCCTGCTCCAGAGTCAGGGAACACCCCGCCCCTCAGAGCGAATTCCCACGCCCCGGGAGGCAGAGCGTGGAGTGCAGGGTTTGGGGGGGGCATCCTGGAGACAGAGGGGAGCAGCCTGTGCCATGGCGG